TTTTTTTTTTTTTTTTTTTTTTTATTTCTTTTTTTCGTCAGAAGGTATGTAGAAGTCGGCAGTTTTCGGGCAGCTATAGACTCGATTACGAAAGACATGTTTTTTTTTTTAATGGTCCACCACCCAGCCACGATCAGAAACAGGAGATTGCTTGTTTGATGTCATATAAAGTCGCTTCGACGATCTCGTCCACATAAAATTTGAATGAACGTCGTTCGTTCAATTTATCTCAGCTCCTGATGCAGCATCCGCGCTGCTTTGGTAATCATGCTGCTAGAAGGTTCTTGATGTTCTTCGGTGTGTTCTCCTCGTTCAGGTGCTTGGTGGTGTAGCGAAGAGCATTCAGAAGACCCTCGCTTTTGCAAGGTGGTTGATCCTTCAATAGCTTTACACAGCCTTTAACCTGAAAAAGTAAAGCACTTTCTGTGAATTATATGTGGCCAATATTTTGTATTTAAATTAAATATGAATAAGTTTATAAAAAGCTGAAATATAAAAAAAAAGACGTGGAGGATTCTTTAGTGAGATGATTGTTCTATGCAAATGTAGATGATTAATTTTTTTCTAGATTCAAAATCGTTTTTTAAATTGAAAGTTTTAAGAAAAATATTTCATCAATGAATAATCAATATATAGTGACTCACATTAATTAATTAATTTTATTTTTTATTAAATATTTATTTTATAGTTTCTTCTATCATTTTTTTTTTTAATAAATTTTCTTCGATAAATTAATTATCGATTGAAATAATCATTTTCACGGTAAAAGTATTGTATTGTTTATTTTTGCGAATATAATTTTATCTAATAATTATTTTTGCTCGGATATAAATATCCGTAATCTTCCGATACAATATTTTCAGTTAATTTCTGATACTTTATTTTTAAATTATTTTTCTAAAATAGTTTAATCCAGCAATTGACGTCAGTAAACTATTAAACACATCCCTTTTTTTCCAATACACGTGACATTAGACGTAGTTCAATTTTTATTTCAAACGATCTATACTTACATCGACATTCGAACCCTTAACAAAGGCACCTTGGGGATGAACATGATCATAAAGGATCACTAACCCTACCATCACTCTCAGAACAAAGAGTTGAGTTTCTTCTCGTTGGAATTGCGCCAATAAATTCCTAAGAACAGTAATATATCTTATCTGAAACAGCTTTCTTTTTTTATTTTTCTTCAGAAATCTTTCTGTCTAGACGAAAAGTTCTTTGACTCAATTGTCAGATTAATATTACTCACGGATTTTCTAACATGCGCAGACAAACTTTGGCCATGGTGCCAAGAGTTTCAGTAATATTTTCACGTGCTACATCTTCGTTCTGAAATAAATACGTATATTTTTAATTAATAATTTAAATTTGATGAGATTTTAATATCATAACAATATTATCTATATAATAATTGATAGAACGATAGAAAAATTAATCGTTCAATCGGTGACAAAAAACGTAGAAGTATTTTATGTATTATAATAATGGATACTTAATATTCTATCATACATAGATATAATTATATATTAATTTTAGCTTAGTTCGCTTTTAAATATTGCAAAAACGAAAAATATGATGATCGATCTCTTTGATAGTTCTGAAACTTGAAAATTTGAATACTTCCAATATCATTCATAAATAATGTAGGTATTGTTTTTTCACGTTATATTATAATAAATTCTTATAATTGTTATTATTGTGACAAGTCTAATGTGAACAGAGAAACGCGAAGTAGAGAAAGTCAAATTACAATAGTATCGGTATCCATGCGATCGAGTATCGTATCAATCTATTGTATTCGTTACTCTAAACTTCCATCATTTGTTTAATGCCTAGTTGCTAGCCCGTTAACATAACAGCATTGTTCAGAATAATTTAATCGAGTCGTACACAATAGTAACTCGTACTATTTCTAACATTAACGTATCTACTATTCTTTCATAATTAAATCTTTTGTTCCGGTGAACAATAATATCATCTTGTAAAATTTAACAAGAATAATAAATTAACTTTGTTAATTTCAATATTCTGAACTTATCTTCACTACTGTTTTATATTTTCATCTTAAAATTTTTCAATTTTCTTTTTTTAATCTTTCAAGAATTAAAAATAGTTTAGGAAAATATTTAGGAAGTATTTATGTATCAATTAGGTATTTAGATTGTTAGATCGTAATTGTAAAAATTCTTTTTTCAATAGCAATAGATTTCGAAAATGAATTCAAGAATAGTACAAAGGATTAATAATTTTATTATTTCATAATTTCTATTTTTATTTTCAAATGTTTATGATTATTCTCATGAATGTAATTGGAATACTTCCGTTAATTTTCGTTTCTAAGAATAAACTAAGAAATCTAAGAATTAATACTTAACTAGAGAAGAGAAAAAAAGAAACTAACAAGGAGAAGCAATCAAATTAAAAAATTAAACACAATAATATACAGAGATCATCGACTTCCTCAATCCCAAGGCTTAAAATTCGAGGTTGAAATCACAAACAATCATTTCCTCTATCGTCCCAATTAAAATACACATATACATTTATTGCCTACGAATCTGCTATCCATTACATTGGTAAATGTTCCGAGAACTGTTTTATCCTGAATCACTTGGAATAATAGCTTTTAATTTTCCGGTTCAGTGCTCGTCATTATTTATACCGACCTATTTTGCTTACATTGCCACAAGTTTCGTGATCGTTGATGAATCTCTCGTTTAATATTCATACGAGGCAATGTTTTTTTTTGTCTTTCTTTAAAAGATTCAATAAAGAATGGAGAAAAAAGGTTAATTATCAATTACAACGAAACAAAATATAAAATACTATATCTATTATTATAGAATAGAAGGCAAATTATACAGAGGCGCACATATGTAGGCGAAGAATAGGTTTCGCGTCAATGCCGCCTATTCAGTGTTACCGAACCAGGTAAATTCATTTTCAAAGATTCTAAAGACCTTTTACGTTTCTCCACTCCCCGTTATGAGCTTTTTATCTTTAACAAAGTTGATTTTACAACATGTTGAATGGTTAGAAGATAATAATTCCGTATGAAATTATGTTTTATATGTAGGATAGAATACTTTTTCTTTGTTTATTATGTGTAGTTTAGTAGCATTTTGAAGAATTTTAATTTAATTTTAGTGAAAACACTTCAAAGAATTTTAATTTATTATCATCCATTCAATATTTTTAATGAGAAAAAGTAATTCGTGTTTTGCTGATATTTGTTTCTATATGTTCTTTTTATAAATTTCGCAAAGAAGATATAGAAAAAGTTGTTCATCGCGAAAAATTCATATTCAAATTACTACTTTTTCATCACGTTAAAAAAAAATACGAGAAAACTTTCTAGCTAATAAAATTCATCGATTAGCATCCGGATGGATCGATAATGGTAAAGGAACGGCGAAAAGATAAGGGAGAATACAAAGAAGAGATAGCACTTACATCCATCAAGAAAGTAATGGTCGCGTGACTCAGAACACGAAGCATGGGTGTCGCGTGGGCGTAGAACAAGGACATTCGGTTGGCGAGCTCGTTCCCGACCACGAGGTCCTTTTCAGCGCTTTCTTGTCGCGCCAGGGATGCTCTGGTCAACGTTCTTCTGTAATAACTAAAATCATTTTGAATGGCGGGTGTCTTCATCTTGTGCTCGTCGAATTTCAAGACGAATTCCAGAATTTCCGCCAGCTGTTTTACCAAAGCCTGTTGAGTTTCGAGGTGTTGGGTCGGAGAGAGATTACCGGAGCACAGTTGGCCTAAGATTTTTGGTACTACCTTCTCTGGAAAATATCAAAACGATGATCGTA